TATCGTATCTTGACCCCTCTGTCATGATATGTATCGTATCGCCAAGTTCTTGCCAATACACAGCCCTACTCGATTTAAGTAAGTTTTGTTTACTATTGACACAATCATTTTAAGCTTTCATTTGCTCACTATTCTTTTAACAACCCTAGTTGGTTCTCTCACTTTAAATCTTAAAAAGAGGTAGGTTGGATCAATATCTCAGCATGATCAAATCATCTAATTCAGTGGACTTATTAACTTCATACTGAAGAAATGCTAGCAAAAGCTTGTGTCTCCATTCAATGCAGATTTAAAATAATTTTATTATCGTGTAAATTTGACTACTTTTATGACTACTGTAGCGATTAAAATGAACGTCAAAGAGAATAACGTTTAAATGTAAGCTGATAGTGTTTCATGAGGACCCCCCACACCATCTAAGGGAACCACTGATCTAATCTAATAAAAACCTTTTGTATTTACAGAAACTGTGACAGAAAAAATACAATTGTAGAACCGTTTAAACACGGCATCATCCTATAAAGCAGAGTACACTGGTGACAAACAAGAATGAGGAGTTTCAGTATGTGAACCATCTTGGTTGTAAGTTGTAATATATCAAATGCAATAGCACATTTAGGGTAATATTAAAGGTGTTAGTGTTACATTTTAAGAGACATGGTTTTCTTTTATTACAACAACAGTTCGCCTCCCTCTGAACAAATAGTCTATACAAATAAATCTGGTATAAGATGGTATCAACAGCTTCCATGAGGACAGAAAAAAAGCTTAGTTCGGCTGAAAAATTTACATTCAGTTTATGCAAAGGACCTAGTGTAGGTAGACACTGTACAAAGCTTTGAAAGATGTTGCATGCTCTTTGCTGCACATTGCAAACAATCTTAGTCCAGTATGGGTCCACTGAGGTGCATTCTCCTCCCAGTATTAATGAAGCCTGTGTTCTCTGAGCAGGAAGGAGGGATAAAGAGGGGGAGAGTGAAGGAATGCGACCAAACAGGTTTGGATGATTGGGAAGTGCCCCTAGGGTAGAAATTTTCAGGCAAGCCATAGTTCACAAAATTATATAAAATATATAGACTTTAATCTGAAAATTCTTGATAATAACTAAAATATATATAATTACAATTGCATAAGGAGTGTAGATTTGGACTTACTTATTATGTTCTTTAAGCTGACAGGTACATTTTGTTAATAACATAGTTAGCCAACATATGAGTCAGCTTCCATAGACATGAGTCAGGTTGATGTGGGTGAGGGTGAACTACAGATCCATAAAGCCAGCGTGGACAAGACGGCAGGAATGTCGCAATGATGCAAACTGTGCCAAATATAATGATATGCAGCTAATGCTAGCAGGCTAACACACACAGGCTGCTGGCGTTAATCACCACACCGACCATTAAACTCATGTCCTACGGAGAACAAACTTTACACACAGCAGTTTTGTACCGACACTGTCCAACTCACCGCTCTGTTCCCCGAGAAAGACCAGTTTAAATTTTCTTAAAGGGTTCCCGAAGTCTCCGGCCGCAGACATGATGACTGAATCACAAACGATCCTCTTCTTCTTCAGAAGCTCACCGGCTAGCCCCGCTAAACGATAAGTTCAGTAGCTTTTCTCCGTTCCCAAAAGCCCGTAATCCGTACGACAGCTCCTATAAAGGCCCACCTGGCGATTTTAACAGCTCGAAAACCTCCTTCCGGTGTCAATACACTGCAGGACAACTCTGTAACTAATGTTGCGAACTTATTACTCCAGTCTTCTGACTACATCAGCAACTTCTTCTTCTTCAGACACAAAGTGAACATTGTTTTAACCGGCATCGTTATGCTGCCCCCTGGCGGTCAAACAAAACCACAGCGAGTAGCAGCTGTAAACCCTTTGGAAATAAACTGAATGATAAATTTCAATTTGAAAACACAAACTCTAAATTATATTAGATTAAATATTACCACTATATGGCTAGCTGTAAATAAATATCAGGATGAACAAGGAACCATCATATCAATGAGACATGATGCACTTGTAATGAACACTAGGGGGCGCGCTCGCACCACAGCTGAGGTTTCACACACAAACCAGCACTTGTTCCAAAGGAATCCGGCTTGTCCTGATACTGGACTACATGCACATAATTAATAAATATGCATCTTGACAAACCCACCAAAGTGTTTTATTTTATTTTATATTATTTTAACTAGTAAAAGTTAGTTCACCTTTATCTTTAATTTGTCACCTACAGACTCATTTGACATGTTTTACTTGAAATGCTCAAACACTTTATTTTGTCCCTTAATTCTCTAATCTTGTCACACTTGCAATTGCAATGTTTTGTCTGTGCACCATTTAATATGGTATATTTAATGCAATTCTTATATTAAAAAATGCTATTTAATTTTTCACGTTTAGCAAAATTGCAACACTTTTTCCTAATTCTACTTTTAGAAAATTTAAAGTAAATGTTGATCAAATTTTAAAGTCATGTAAAAGGATAAAAATAAGTTTTGGTGTGATTTATCTGATTAAAGATGTCACCTCTTTTTTTTTTTTTTTTGGTCCCGAACAGACTATTTTGAGACACTGCTGCAAGATGAACATGTGTGGTTTTTACAATCACTGCAGTGATGCCAGCGCTTACTGGCAGCCTTTCAGCATAAAGCCAACTGGCATTAATTATTCCTGCAAACAAAATGAAATGAAATCACAGTTATGGGTAGCAGTGTGTAGGTGTGAAAGTGGAACTTGGTAAGACCTGCTCTGTCTCACACATTCATCAGACCGTGGTGTCTACTGAAACCCTCTGCAGCTTCTTTTGGATTGTTCATGACCTTCGGCTTGTGGGACAGCAGCTGTCTCGAAGTACAAAGCCCTGTGGCAACAATACAAGGTGACCTAAATACAGAAGTCAGATTGAAAATGCTGGTTTAAACACTTCAGTTAAAGAGACATTTCATACATTTTGAAGTGAGGTTCTGTGAATGTGACTATAATAAGTTAACAGCTGATCTGAATAGTATGTGTTGAGGATTAACCTCAGCTTTGGTTACACCAAGATTTAGTTCAATATCTGAAAAACCAATTGAGTTATTATCACTTTTTTTTTGTTCACCAGAGCTCTTCACCATAGATGAGTGAACGTAGATCATAAAAAAAATTAAATTAATTAAAATATATTTTAAAACAACAATTGAAAAACAGATTTAATTGTATGCTAATGACCTAAAACATTTGTTCAATTTATTTTTTCTTATCTTCCCTCCAGCTTTCTGAGGCCCCCCTAGCATCCTCTGGTGGCCCCTCACTTCGAAAAACACTGATGGGACACGTCCTGATGCATCTCAGTAATCCAGGTAAAAAAATCAAAAAGAAAAAAATTGTATAGGTCTTCTGGACGGGTTCTTCTCTAATGAAACGTTTCGTCTCTTCTCCAAGAGACTTCTTCAGCCTGAGAGTTTCAGGCAAAATTCAGGCTTTTAAGCCCTGCCTCCATGTGACTGATACTCACATCACATGGCTATCGTTGACACCTAATTAACACTTATCGTTAACAGTGGGTGGAGTGATACTGGCAATGGCCGCGCTGTAGGAGGGGGACAACTGAAAATGGAGGCCTCCACCTCTGTTTAATGATGGACGGTCTTTCTTATTTTCTTATTGTCTTTCTCTGGTTCTCATTCTTGATAGAGAGGAACGTTGGTTTGAGAGAGGAGTAAAAGAAGCCATTTTTGTGAAGAAAGAACGTCCATCATTAAACAGAGGTGGAGGCCTCCGTTTCCAGTTGTCCCCCTCCTACAGCGTGGCTATTGCCAGTATCACTCCACCCCCTGTTAACAATAGGTGTTAATTAGGTGTCATCGATAGCCATGTGATGTGAGTATCATTCACATGGAGGCAGGACTCAAAAGCCTGAATTTTGCCTGAAACTCTCAGACTGAAGAAGTCTCTTGGAGGAGAGACGAAACGTTTCATTAGAGAAGAACCCGTCCAGAAGACCTATACAATTTTTTTCTTACTGATGGGACACATTCTGCTCAGTCAACATTTTGCTTGGATTTAAGATTGTAAGACTTGGTTAGACAGACAAAAAACATTATTCCCCTTCACAGTACTGTGGTGGGCAGCAATTACAGTTGTATTAGAATTAGGGCAATCATTCAGAATTAGTGAGTGTGGTGTTTTTGTGTCAGCCTTAGCCCTTTTAGGTCACCGAAGAGGAGACACACCTGCGCCAACCTTCCCGTTCCTTCGCCATAGCAGTTAATCCCGGAGCTGGAGCTGCTCTGTTTGAGAGCCAGGCCCTGCCAAACTACAGCCCCCCCCCCATCCCCCACCCCACCTTCCTGCTTCAGCACTCCTACACCATATGTCCTTGGTATAAGGAAAAGACCACCCCCTCCCCTATCCCCCTGCTGAAGTTGCTGAACTGACAAAAAATCTCCTTTGCTCTATATCTCCCCCCAGCCTCTCTCCATCTTTAACTCTTTCTTACGCACATCCATTCGATTTGCACCAAGGTTGTGTCCAATGTGCTCACCTTATTACCTATATAAAAAAGTAAAAATTAAAAAAAAATTAAAAAACATTTCCAAGAAATACACCAGTGCAGACAATTTAAGGATATATAGTTTCAAATGATCCAAAAACACCTCAAGGACACGAGTCCTCCCTGCAACATTTACTCCTGCGAAAACTTGGCTTCCAGATGAGGAAATAAAACTCAAGTTCTTTGAATTGTTTAATCTCCTGCTTTTCTTGGGCTTTTTAAGATGAGGATTTGCAGATGTGTTTATGTTGATAGTACATCTGTGGGAGGGGAGACCATCACCCCCCCCCCCCCAACATGACCTCAACATAAAT